AAATAATGCAATACAAGATGCCGATCTGTTAACAAAGGAATTACTTAATTATGCATCTAAAAATGATGATTTATTCGCATGCATTGGACGATACAACGAAAAAATGAGAGCTCGATCATCTAAAGACGTTAAGTCATCACGTAACACAGCTCTACGACAAAATATTCCAGTTGGAACCTTTGGCTTTATTTTTAGATATTTGGCGCTTAGAGCTATTACCATTATTATATACATTGTTGTATTTATTCAAACTCGTTCTTGGTTTTATTCGTAACGTATTTATTCATCCTCTTATGTTTTATATTTTGTTATGTAAGATACTACAGCATACTTTATATATATGAATATTGTATATTCAATATATTCGTTATAATAAATTATATACCTGATATACGTTCGAGGAGTATGAGATATTCAATCTTTAATTCTCTATAATAATTATATATTAAGTAAAAAAAAAAAAAGGATTAAGATCTTTTAAAATTATAAAGTGAAGGACTGATTATCACTCTTTTCGTTTTGGATTGACGAACTACATAATTTTTTTTTTTGAGTTCTGTGAGTCCGTGAATACATCATAGAAGCAACTTATCTTAGTAGACATATAAATGTTACAATTTCAACTTCGAGCGCTTGAAGTTATAACTTTATGCAGGGGTGATTTCAAGTACATTGCTTGAAGTTACAACTTCAAGCAGAAGATTGATTTTGACAAAATGATAATCGAAAAATTGATCTACCAAAATCTGATCCATAATTCTGGCAATCTAATTTTCTAGTTCTTAATTAATAATATGCCAAAAGTGTTAAATTTTTCTACAAACAAGTCATTTCAAGTTGTTATTTTAATATTTGATTGCCCTAATAGTCCAATTCTCAATTTGTTAAAACTGTTAGATTTACTTGTGAATAAGCCATCTCGGATTCAGTTTGGTTCATTTGAACACAGTCAGGGTTCAAGTGAACACACTCCTATAAAAAATTTTTTGAAAACCATTCTTCGACTTTCTCCAGATTAGAGTTTAGAACTGTTAGTGCTTAATAGCATTTAATTATTTACTTATATTATATGGTTAAATAAGTAACAGTTTTAATAACAATTAAAGTATTCCTTAATCGTTCTAAAATTAAATATGTTCATAATTTGAGTGGTTATTACATGTTACATATTTGTTTTACATACTCCTGGCTTGATAATGATCGTTAATAAACTTATATATACCGTTGGTAGTTTAGAATATATATGAATGAAAGGAGGCATTATATTGAAGAGATTTATTTACTAATACACAATACCACCCTTTTCATTTGTGTTAATTTAGCTAATGAGTATTAAATCATTTGCCAATTGTTTACTGATTAATTTATTTAAAGTATTTTCATGAACATTGCTTACCAATAAATAAGTTATGTTGGTTGGTTATGATAAACATAGAATTATATTAAGAATCATGTAACTAATTTAAATGTTTAAGGCAAGACCAACTTTATATTATCACGCTCCTCTTGGGGGTGGGGTGGAGCAGGTTTTATAATATAAATAGGTTTTTTTTCTTAAACAAATTTTTTAAACAAAACTAATTAAAACTCTTTCCAACAATTATCAAATATTATAAAAAATAATAATGGTAATAGCTCTAAGCGCCAAATATCTAAAAATAAAGCCAAAGGTTCCAACTGGAATATTTTGTCGTAG